TTATTATAATATATTCATAATAATAATATTGGCTTAAATTAATTAACACAATAATTCAACAAAAAAATTATACATTTAATACACTGTTTCAACAGACCAATGAATGAGTATTTAAAAACACATTTATAGTTATAATATAGCTACAACACTGTTATCTGCAAGTGCCAAATGTACATTCTGTACCAACAGTGACCAGCAGGGGGCGATAGCAGCAAACAAAAAACAGCACAGGCACAGAAGGCAGTTAAAACAAAAGTCAAAGTACTTAAGCAAGCCCGATCTTAGCCTCACACAGGCTTTGCTCCTACAAGAGGATACAATAATTTTCACATTTCAAACTAAGGGACGTTAACTACAGTTTCTCCCGTCACGAATCACCATTTCGATCATGTCTAACAGTTGCCTCAGAGCTATATCGGCTCTTTGGATTAATAAACTACATTTTTAACATCTAATAAAATGGAACTGATTTGGGTGCATGGGTTGCCCAGAGCCAAAACAAGACTAAGGCGCAATCATTTTAGGTGGCTTGGTTGATTTATAGGCAGTGAAAGACTTATTATGGGTGGAAAAGAGGAGTGCAAAAGGTCACCTCAGTAAAGTGGGAAGTGGGAGTTGTTTGGTCGCTCATATTTTTAGATTCGTATTGATGCTGGCTCAGTCTGATCTTCTTAGAAGCAAAGGAGATGGGTAAATAACGAAAACAAGAAACAAACAGTGATATTGTTTAATCCATGCAATCACTTGTGGACTTGTTTTTAAGTTAGTGTTATCCTCAAAGCCATTCTTCTTAACTTTTATGTATGCTTTCCGAACAGTACTGCAGTACTCGTAATGCTTTGCCAGGCTGCCAGGATCCATTTCCCCTCTTCTTCCTGTCTGGACCTTGTTTAATAAATCTGTGACACTTAAAATCAATTTAGAGAAACAAGCAGATACGAGCTCACCTCTGAGATAGATGCCTTTGTGCAGACCTGCCTCTGCGTTGCTGCTCATTATTTCAGACGAATCAAAGACAAATATGAGCAGAATATAACCAAAATACAACTGCATGACTGACCCAATGACACAGCAGAAGGCCCATGACCTACCCTCATCACAGCTCAGTGCCGCTCTCGGCTGTTTTGGAGCAGAAGACCTTACGTACAGAACAATATGGAGAGGTGCTCCGAAGTGTTCTGCCTCCTCTCCAAAGTCAAAGATCCCATCCTGCTGATCTGGGGACATTCACTCAGTCCCTCGGGAGGGGATTAGTGCAGTGACACACGTGGAAATAAATAGGGTATAAAGCTGCGTGTCGTAAAGTGTTATCGGCACAACAATTACAACCTGGAAAACAATGCTAATAAATTGATGTTAGAGATTGAGACTGAATCTTTTTATGAGCCGCATCATGTCGCAACAATCTGATGTTTCTACAAAGAGCTGGCACTTACTACGCATGTTTGTTTGTCTGTCTGTGTAACTGAATCATTACCAGTTTCAGTGACCCAAAAATTCTGTAATTCCCCTCATTATCACTTGACCAGCATCAAAGGCCAGCAGTATCTGCATATCAGGGAACATCAAGAAACACAGAAACTGTCCGGCCACATGTGGCTATACTTTTGTACTAAAGCCCTCTTTTGTCAGTCTCCCAGAGTCAGTTTTTACAAAGGTCAACCCATTCCAGTCTTTGTGCTGGCTTCAGGGGAAATGTGGTTGATGCTTCTGTCATTAAGTGTGAAAACATGAGTGTGGGGGAGGATTTCAAAGAAGTGTGCATTTCTCTGGAACCAGGAGAACTGAGGTCAGCAAGCAGGCTTACTGAAACTATCTCAGTAAGCCTAAGACTCAGAGCTGCTCTGCCGTCCAACAATCAGCCCATATTTACCACATAGCAGTGTGTGTTTGCACACTTCAGTACTCACACTGTTTATATGTGTTTGCCACTGTGTAGTTTCAGTTTATGGACTTTGTGGAAAAAGAAGCGTGTTCCTGAAACAGAAAAAAGCAAAAAATGTGGGAAGAAAGGAAACTTTCACAAGATAAGCTTCTTGGAATATGAAACCTGTGAATGTTTACTTTGTTATGACAGATGTGGATCACAAGACCACAACAGACACAAGAAATGCTGCAGATTCCTGTTAGTTAGCATTGCTTGAACATCAGTTGTGAAAGCTTCCTCCTACTTACTTCAGTTTCTGAGCTGCAGAATCACAGAAATTTCTGCTTCATCACAGTCAGTTTCCTCGCATCAGCTTACCCATACCAAAACCTATAAATATAAAAACACTCCAGTTAAAGGAAATTCTTATTTATTCCATCTATATTTATAGCTTTCACTATAACTCGGTCGGGAATGATACACCGATACACTTTAGTCCTGGGAACACAACACACAAGTCCAGCAGGTGTATTAAAATATGAGTGGGTGGGTGATCAGTGAGGCCAACCACAAGAAGACGGAGCTCCTAAACCGCTTTATTTCAAACTAAAACTGAAAGTGAGCACGCCCAAAATGTCAGTAATACGTTTACATTGCTCAGGAAAACGGTGTGTGTGAGCAAATATACTGTAAGTACAGTAGAGCAACTCTGGATCAGGAAGACGGGGTTTTGAAATGTGGCAGCTTACAACAGACACTCATTGTCTGTGTTTTGTTTTCAAATACTTGGGAAACCTGTCTGTCCACCGGACTGCTTGTGTTTCCTGTCCTGTTAGACTTTCCTGTAATTTTGGCAAAATCTCGGGGAGGAAATCGCTTTTGTGTTAAATGAAAACAACACAAGATGACACAAATAAAAAAAAACAGTTTAAATACAAAGAGAATATTAAATACACGTTATTGCCACTTAAAGAACTTAGAGCTGCAGTGTTTTCATGATTATAATAGATAGTAAAACACACACACAGACATGTGAATGCATGCGCACATTAAAAACAAGTCGTTGATATGGCAGCGACAATATTTTTATTGATTTGATTTTCCAGTGAAGTGTGCAGACGCTCCGTTTACTACCTCAGCAAAGTCTAACGTCCTCTCTCAACTGCGTAAACACACATGTGACTGCAGTCAGTGTTTGTTGTACCGTTTCTACCCTGTACTTTCACATTTGTTTTTGTCTGGTGTGCGTGTGTGTGTGTGTGTTTCGGGGCACTCCCTGTCCTACACGCCCTGCCTCGTGAAGCGGTAGCTTCTGTGCTTAAGGACTCGTCTGTCTCGTTCTCCCTGTGTGTGTCTGCCTATCAGCCCTGTCTGTTACAGACTGGTTGTCTCTCTCGTATCAACTTTGTTTAAACAGAACCGCTCTATCAGTATCGTCTGTCAGAACAGAATGAACCTACTGTTTCTGAATGGTCTGCTTGACAGTGTGATGTTATCAAGATGAATGGCAGAACAAAGACTTGTTTTAGAGATTTAAGACAAAGACTTAAAGCTTTGCTAAGTGTGTCTAAAGGAATCTTAAGTGTGTATTTAACCCAGCATGTAGCTTACTTCCTTATTGCGCTTTTTTCAGCTGGTCAACAGTCTTCTTATCTTTCAAAGGTAATATTTGATGCAACATATTAATTAAAGTGCCTCGCTCGTGGGTGGATCTTGTTACCTACAGACATAATCAAGCTTCTCGTTTCCAATATTTATGCAAAGCTAAGCAAACCAGCTTAGCTCCTGTTTGAAAACATACACTGATTATCTGGTCACCCACATACGCTGATAAATATCTCATCACAGCAGGGTGCAGGAGACCCCAGGGGGCCCAGGGGTTGAATATCAGGATTCCAGATTCAATATAAGCATGTCTTATTGCCTAAGCAAAATATGTAAATATGTGGACTATTCTCTTCTTTAGTCTGCTGGCATCAGATGACAGTTATATAATTCTCTGCCAATTTATATTTAACAACAACAACAACCTTCTCAGATGTACTTCCAAAGGATCATTTTTAAAAAATCTAATTAAACAGGGTCCATGGTATAATCCGAATCAGTTTTTATTTTCCTTTTGGCAAAGGGTGAGCTGTGGGTGGAGGTGAAGAGACTTTGATATGAAAAGGTTTGAAATGCCTACACCCAGTGTGCTCGCTACAGATTCACTTTTCAAGCGTTGGCATGACAAATGACAGCTCCCCAACAAAGTGACTCTGTTTCCAGTGCGCGTTTTAAACTTGGTGAGTTTGCACCTGAGTGTCACAGCGCTGCAGACATGTTGGTCACTGTCTCCGTCTGGCTGCCAACCTTCATCCGCAGCAGCAGCGGCGGCCTCAGAGCTTCCTCTGCCCGGCCACATCGATGTTTATGTCTGGGCTGCAGCCCTTCAGAAGTGGCCAGAAGCAACAAAACATGTTTTTTCCCCTTTAGGGTCTGAAAATTGGGCAGACAATGTCTCCACAGTCAGACTGCAGCTTATTATCCAAGTCAACCTGAGCATGTTATTATTGAGAGTGAGGTGGAGTCGATTTTAGAAAGGGGAGGGATTCAAAGTAGAATGGAAAGGATAATTTTCTTGCGACACTGCAGGGTGGCATGGCGATGCAGTGGAGAGCACGGACACCTCACAGGCACACAGTTGCTGCTTTGAATCCAGAGTTGGATGGCTGCATGGGTTCTCTCCGGGAACTCCTGCTTCCTCCCACAACCCAAAGACATGCATGTTAGACTAGCTGATGATC